GTCCCATTTTTCTGTACTTATCCAATCTGTCCCCCTTTTATTGGAGATGGACTAACCAGAAAATTCTACTTCAGGGGGAAAGGTGTGGGTTAAACTTAGTGTTGAAAGGAAGAAAGGCCAGATTGTCACTGAGGGGAAGGGAGCCAATAAATGAGTGCCACAAAAGGGAAAATCTAACATAATTTTGGTGCCTAAAGAGATGCTTAAAGCATGAGAATAATATTTTCTCTTAGCTTTGATTCAGAAGCCTGTTGGGGCAAAGGACTCTAATGGAGTCTCCTTGTCAGAAGAGCCAAAAAGAGAGCTGAACAATAGCTAACCTAACAAATACACTTCCCAGAGTGACATATGTCCTCAAAATGGATGAAGAAATATATGGGAGCGCTGTCAACAATGCAAATGTTTTTAGATTCTCATTTCACAGGATGCATCTATTATAGAGGAGCTGTGCTGGGAAGCAACCTGTGGAAAATGTTTAGCGGGCTGAATCTGAAAAACATTGACTAATAATCTCAAAGAACATCATGTGCCATTAATCATGATGATGGCTTTAAAAAGGTACCAGAGGGGCGCCTGGGCGGCTCAGTTGGTTATGCCTCTGCCTTTGGCTCAGGTCATGATCTTAGGGTCCTGAGATCGAGCCCCGAGTGGAGCTTCTTACTCAGCCGGGAGTCTGCTTCTCCCTCTCCCACACCCCCACCCCCGTCTCGCCCATGGTCTCTCTCTCTAATAAATAAATATTTAAAAAAAAAAAACGAATTTTATTTACTTATTTGACAGAGAGAGAGAGATAGTGAGAGCAGGAACACAAGCAGGGGGCGTGGGAGAGGGAGAAGCAGGCTTCCCACTGAGCAGGGAGCCCGATGCGGGGCTGATCCCAGGACCCTGGGATCATGACTTGAGCCAAAGGCAGACGCTTAACGACTGAGCCACCCAGGCATCCTAAATAAATAAAATCTTAAAATAAAAGTGTACCAGAATATGGTGGTAGAATGTTATCTATTGCATATCCCTTTTGTCAAAATAATATTATGTGTAAAAACAGCTATTTGCCCTGTTATTGTGAGTAAATAGGCACAAGAAGGAGGAACAATTGGGACACTTGGATCACTGATAAAGGACAAGCACTAGGTATAACTTGGTGGGCCCATATTCCTAAGAATTCTGAAATGTGTTTGGTTATGGGAAGTGCTACGAAACACTCAAACCAAAGTCTATCAGGAGTGACTACTACTCATGTGATCTAAGCCTGGGGGAATTAACATTTTTGAAGTACCAAATGTATTTCCTAATTGTACAAAGTCAGTTAGTACTCAATGACAACACGTCTGCTGTTGGCCCATTTGAAATAAAGAGAGCTTTAGTGGAATTAGGAGCTGCTTAGGAGTATTTGGTCAGGCAAATTTGTTGTTTTTTTTTTAAAGATTCATTTATTTTGAGAGAGAGAGCACAGGAGTGCACAGGGTGGGGGGGAGGGGCAGCAGAGGGAGTCTCTCCCTCAAGCAGACCCGCCATGGAGCACAGAGCTTGATCCAATGACCCATGAGATCAGGATCCTAGCTGAAACCAAGAGTCAGATGCTCAAAGGACTGCGCCACCCAGGCACCCAGGAATATTTGTTTTTGTTTTTTTTAAAGATTTTATTTATTTATTTGAGAGAGTGAGCATGAGTGGGGAGAGGGGCAGAGAGAGAGGGAGAAGCAGGCTCTCTACTGAGCAGGGAGCCCGATGCTGCGCTGGATCCCAGGACCCCGGGATCATGACCTGAGCTGGAGGCAGAGGCTTAACCAACTGAGCCACCCAGGTGCCCTGGCATATTTGTTTTTAATGAGGAAATGCATACTGCTGGAAAAGACCTACTAAGGGGCACTGGGGTGGCTCAGTTGATTAAGCATCCAAGTCTTGATTTCAGCTCAGCTCATGTTATCAGGGTTGTGAGATCACGCCCCAGTACTGGACAGATAATACTGTTATTAATGATCAAATATAGAGTGCTTCCTGTAGTGGATTAATGGGTTCTGCTGCAGGTTTCTTCTACTGGAAATCAGTATCTGTCAAACTATGTAACTGGTTATGTTCTCAAGATGTTTTGAATCCTAAAAAAACAGAGATATGGCCTCTGATTTATATTCATATGAGAAATAATATACTGTACATAAGAAAAGATAGATTGTAGGGGCATCTGGCTGGCTTACTCAGTGGAGCCTGCGGCTGTTGGTCTCAGGGTTTTGAGCTCGAGTCCCATGGTGGGTGTAGATACTACTTAAAAAAAAGAAAAGAAAAGAAAAGAAAAGGTAGATTGTGTTGGAGAGGACAAAATAATTACACCATGATGGGGCATGGTAAGCTGATGGTGGCTCAGTAACCTGAGCATTTGACTTCGGATCAGGTCGTGATCTTGGGATCACTGGGACTGAGCCCAGCGTTTGGCTCTGTTCAGCAGGGGTCTGCTTCTCCCTCTCTCTCTCTGCTTCCCCCTCCAGCTCATGCTCTTTCTCTCAAATAAATAAAATCTTAAAAAAAAATTACATGAAGATTTTTTTTTGAAAGAGAGCGTGTACGCATGCACACAAGAGGGGGAGAGAAGGGTCAGAGGAGAGAGAAAACCTTAAGTACACCTCAATCTCACGACCCTAAGATCATGACCTGAGCTGAAACCAAGAGTCAGATGCTTAACCGACTAAGCCACCCAGGTGCCCCTATAACAAAATTTTCTGATTTATACTGTAACTACAATGGTATTGCTATATAGGGTATAAATAAGGGGCATAAAGAAATTAATATTGTAGATACTAATAAACTTAGATAATACTGAAATTAATGATCAAATATAGTGGGAAACTGAATTAAAGCTATCTCAGGACATTATCCCTATGGAGGAGAACTGGTCTGAGAAATATTTAGAGTTGATTAATGATAGATTAATAATTCAGCAGATGTATACCATAAGGAGCAGACACTTACAGATCCAAGAAGCAAAAGAACTGTATAGTTACAAAAACATGGGAAAGTATAAATGGATGTTTAGCTATCTGTTTAAATTCCTACCAACCCCACATTGGATACTGTAAATGTTTGGATTCTGCATGTACATTTTTATTATATGATTATGACATATTGCAAGGCAAGTAAATGATATCACACTAAGGATTACTGTTTTATTAGAAATAAGACTTGACAATGGGTTAATGGGGGTGGACTGCTCTGTGTGGGTTAATTCCTGAAATTAGCTTGAGCTGTTTTGCTAAATTCCTGTATGGCACTGACTTTGGTAAAGGCATAGCATGAAACATACTCATTAAAAGTGTTGTGAGGGCAATAAACACATGAAAAGATGCTCAACATCACTAACCATTAGGAAAATGCAAATTAAAACCATAGTCAGATACTCTTTCATACACTAGAATGGCTATTAACAAAAAACAGAAAACAAGTTGGCATGGATATGGAAAAATTGGAACCCTTGTCCATTGCCAGTGGGAATATAAAATGGTACAGGTCCTATGAAAAACAGTATGGTGGTTCCTCACAATATTGAACACAGAATTACCATTTGATCTACGTTCTACTTTTGGGTATATATCCAAAAGAAATGAAAGTAGGGGTTTGAAAAGCAGAATGTGCATAGCAGAATTATTCACAATACCTAAAGACAGAAACAACCCAAATGTCCATCAACACAAGAACAGATAAATAAAATGTAGCATATACATACAAAATGGCATATTATTCAGCCTTAAAAAGAAGGGAAATTCTGATATATACCACAGCATGGATAAATACTGGAGACATTCTGCTTGATGAAATAAGTCAGAAATAGGGGCGCCTGGGTGGCTCAGTCGTTAAGCATCTGCCTTAGACTCAGGTCATGATCCCAGGGTCCTGGAATCGAGCCCCACATCAGGCTCCCTGCTCAGTGGGAAGCCTGCTTCTCCCTCTCCCCAACTTGTGTTCCCTCTCTCTCTGTCCAAAAAAAAAGTCAGAAATAAAGTAAATATTGTATGACTCCACTTATATGAGGTGCCTAAAAAGTAGTCAAATTATAGACTCAGAAAATAAAATGGTGGTCAGCAGAGGCTAGAGGGAAGGAGAAATGGGAAGTTATTGTCTAACGGGTATAGAGTTTCAACATGGGATCATAAAGAAGTTCTGGAGATATGTAGTAGGGGTGGTTGCACAACAATGGGAATGTATTTAATGCCACTGAACTGTACACTTAAAAATGGCTAAAGTTTAAATTTTATGTTATATATATTTCACCACAATTAATGAAAAGTGTTACAAGGAATTTTGGGTTAGTGTACCAGGTTCTGAATACTGATAGCAGTGAGATTAATGGTTTATATTTGGTCCCTCTTTGAGCTCTCTGAAGGGCTTTGCTGTTGTACAGCAGGAATAAGCCAATATGACCAAAACCGCAAAAATCTCTAGCTGAGATTCCATTTTGGGTCCCGTTTCCAAGGTGTTCTGTGTGTCCATCTGTGGTTCCTTATCCACAAGAGGAAAATGCATCCTGCCCGGCCCTTACTGAGGGAGGACAATGAGAGCCTGCACCTGGCTTCTCTGGACCCTTCTGTGAGACAGTCATGGACTGTGACAGGAGTTCTTACTTTAATGCTGTTGCTGTACTATACCCCTTTCCTATAATAAATTACAGCTTTGTAAGCATTGTCATTTTGGGTCCCGAGTCTTCTTTAGCAATCAAACTGTGTTTAACTGCCACTATTATTGTGGTTATTATTAGGAAAGGAAATACAATGAATTAATTTATGTTGCTCCAAGGAGAAACAACTAAGATCATGGGTGAAAGATACAAGAAGGAGATTTATCTTGCCTTGTGAGGTATTGAGCAAGTCTCTAGACATGTTCACTAAACATTAAAGTAGACGGTAGATGCTCATCTACTTTAAGATCACTGCATTGGGTACCTCAAGCTACCCACTGAACCCTAAGAACTTAGATTTTTTAATCTGGAAAAACTTTTTCAATAGAAACCATACCTGTGATGTTAGCTTCCCAGCAATCTGCATTCGCTCAATTTCTGCAGGAGATTTGATCAGCCGGAGGCGCTGTACCAGCTGCTGGACAGCCCGAACTTTATTCTTGCTCCTGGCTTTGACCTCAGTCAGATGCTGCATGTAGTCAGAGTGAAGCTGTGCATGAGAGGGCCTCATCCAGTCATACCAGACCATATTTGTCTCATCTTAAAATGAGCAGCAAAAAATAAATAAATAAATAAAAATTAACAAGAAATACCAACTGTTATAATGACTTGAACAAGAGTGAAAACTATAAAACCCGTGACATATAACTCTCTCAGGACTGAAGCAACTGAAAGGTTGATTATGTATCACTGGAAAGGCTATTCCCTGCAAATGGCAAGATATTCTGACACCAAATATACAGCTTTTCTGCCCCCAAACTTCAGGGTTCCCTATAAAGATGGTAGATGGGACTAAAGCTTTTTCTCCAGCTTTGACTTCATTCATTATTTATTAAACATTAAAGAACTCCATACCACAACTGAGCTAGAGGCACTGCTGAATTGAACATAAGAGGAGTGAAAAAAATACTCAGATCTTGACCTCCTGGTTAAAAGTATTCTCTTCCTTTCCAATCTCAGTGTTAGTGAAAGGAGGTCCTTATCTCATTTGGGAGCAATTCTTCATGGCTATGGAAACACTCTAGTGGATAATGTGTGCTAACCCATCTGCCATATATTCTCATTAGACAACCACGTTCTCCTTTGAACTCTAGAGACCCAAGGAACTATATGTGCCTGAGATGTAAGATGTGAAGGCCCATGATGAAAATGTCCCACTTACACCACGTCTCCATTCGTCCCTTTCTTTTTCCTGATGTGGCCTAAGAGCAGCATTCCCAACAACTGAAGTCTGAAGGTTGTATGTTTTATACAAAGTATTTGGGACAGAAGAGGGGAAAAATCTTACAAATTTTGATTGGTTATATATCAGTGATACAATCTCCTAAATATTTTCATTTTAAAATAAAAATGGTTTTAAGTGTATATTACATGTCAAACGCTAATCTTATTTTTAATAGAAATTTAACTACTTTTAAAACAGTAAAACCACTTCTACTACCTGTTCTTAGTGTATGAAATCATAGCCCAACTTTTTTTGGTTTTTAAACTTTTAAATAAATATGATTTCACAAATCTTTTCCTTTGCCTACTGCTTTTATCTAGTAAACTACTAACATTAAGAATGGTGAATGAGAAGTACTTTTGAGAAATACATTTGGTGTAAGGCTTTATTTAACAATACTAGGTTGATGAAATTTACACTGTTGAATAGGACAGCTAGAGACTAATTAAAAAAAATAAAAAAGCTAAAAAAAATGATTGACTTTGTGAAGATATAAAAAAGTTCCACTAATTTAGCTGAGTAATTACCTCTGTAAAATAGAGAAAACTTGCATAAAGCAATGAAAACAATTCAAACATATTAGAACTTGCATATTCAAATGAGTATTTTCTTTCCGAGGAGTCTTTGCAGGAAACAAGTCCAATAAATTCCATGATCACTGGAAACAATTTTGGAATTTTCTTTTAGAAACTGACTTCAGAAATGATTTATAAACCATACAAGAAAATCAGACTATAATTTTACAACCATCCATATTTTGTCTAAAACTAGTACTTTCCAACTTGATCAGCTATTTTATTTACCAAATTTGGCGACTAAGTGACTTTTGGACACTTCAAAAAATAAAATGCTTCCCAGAGCTGTAGATTTACGAGAATCACTAAAGATAGTTTATAATGTAGTGTAGGTTCTGAAAAGTTCCAGAAAAGGAATCCTAAAACATTATGAGTGATTATAATTTTACCAGAATAAATGTAGAGAAAAACGACCTTTTTGAGGGGAATGGACTCAACTGTGTACTATATGAATCACCTGAGAATCCTTTTTAAAGTCAGATTCTGATCTAGTAGGTATGGAGCGGGGGCCTAAGATTTTACATTTTCAATTATCTATTATGTATTTGTAATCCTAATATGTGTCACCAGGTTATTCTGATGCTGGTGATGCACTGATCATTCTTTGAGAATACTGCTTCTTTCTGAAGACTTGGCAGAAGTAATAAGCAGTGATCAGAGGTCAATAGACTGGTCAGTGATCTTGAAGAATGACCTATGCTCATTCTGTACTTTAAGTCTTGTGGAAAAGATTTATGATCCTTTCATGGTGCTCAAGGAAATGCCGCTACAATATTCATTTTAGAAAATTAAGAACTTTGTCTAAATAGGCAAGGAAAGTCTTAATCCAAAATCTGGCCTGTGATTTGATTTGACTTCTGCTCCCATTTGTTACCTTTCAATTTTGGTATTAGATGTTGAAATTCTTCCAGTGTATAGGCTTCATCCACTCCCGTTAAAGCTATTGCTCCATCAGTGCCAGATCGTGGGCCATCCCAAAGTTCTCGACTAGGGTCTCTCCGAGGCACAAAAAGCATGGCCTTATGTGCTGGTAACTGCTTGCCAGGGAGGCTTTGAAGGACCAGAATGCTATCCGGCTCTTGGAATCCACACAGGTACAGGAAATTGTTGTCTTGGTGGAAGGTATAGGGGATATCATTGCTCATGTAGTATGTAGGGTTGGACAGCAGAACCACTGTCTGGTCTGTCCCACTCTGCCCTTCTGTTTCCTTGTGGATCAGAGACATTAGTTTGTGCCTGCGAAGTGCATATTCCACTTGAGATAGTCCTGGCGTCACCTCTCCTAGAAATGACAAATAACAGTGATGCTTTGCATTTACATAGTGCCAAACTACTTTTAAGGTAGCTTATTAGATGAAGACACCCAAGTTCATTTCTTCAATTTATGCCAAATCTCCTCATAGCACACGGGGAATTAAGGAGATGACCCAGGTTTCAAATTTTCTATTCCACTGCAAAAAGGTTGGAAGAAATGATAGTTAAATGTGTTCCTGCCGGAAACCTGGAATCATGACCCCATAAGAACTCTTTCATTCTTTTACTCATTCAATCAAATCTTTATTGAACATTATTATGTGGAAGGCATTGTTAGGCATATAATTAAGGTTGACCTAAAGTGTCAATATAAAAGGTGAGAAAGATGACATTATCCGTGTATGACTTTCCTGAAAGAATGTAAGCTCCATGAGGACATAGATTTTTGTCTGTTTAATGTTATATTCCCAGAGCCTAGAATAACAACTGGAATGTAGTGGGCATTTGATAAATATTTGTAAAATGATGTATAGTTTTTAACATAATAGAGTTTAGGGCCAAAGAACGTCCCCCAATTTCAAGAGCTAAAATAAATTTCTCCTTCTGAATTTCCAGTGCATAATAATACCTTTCTAATAGGACTTTTCACTCTCTACTTTGCATTTTTTTTAAAGATTTTATTTATTTATTTGAGAGAGAGAGAATGAGCGATAGAGAGCACGAGAGGGAAGAGGGTCAGAGGGAGAAGCAGACTCCCCGCTGAGCAGGGAGCCCGATGCGGGACTCGATCCCGGGACTCCAGGATCATGACCTGAGCCGAAGGCAGTCGCTTAACCAACTGAGCCACCCAGGCGCCCCTCTACTTTGTATTAACAGTAGAGCTGGGTACACATAACCTCCCTGAGGGTTCCCTCCCTGAGGGAAAATCTTTGTATTTTCCAAGTGGGACCATCTTTGTATTTTCCAAAAACTCTAATAATATTATCTACCTCTTGGGGCTGTCATGAGAAGCAACCTTGATAAAGCATGTGGTTCTTAAGGAATGAAGACTCCCCAAAGAATCTTTAGAAGCTATGGATTCAGGGGCACCTGGGTGGCTCAGTCGGTTAAGCTTCTGACTCTTGATTTTGGCTCAGGACATGATCTCAGGGTCGTGAGATGGAGCCCTAGGTGGGGTTCCATGCTCAGCAGGTAGTCTGCTTCTCTCCCTCTCCCTCTGCCCCTCCCCTTGCTTGGGCACATGCACTCTCTCCCTCAAATAAATAAATCTTAAAAAAAAATAAAATAAAAGCTATAGAGTCATTGTTTATTAAACTGCACATAGGCACACACAAACTTCTGACATATATTTCAAGAGCCGTCTGATTCACTTAAGCCCATTCACAAAACTCTTATTAGGAACCTGTGTTATTAAGTGTTACATATTAGTTCTCAGTATTAGTACCCAGCATACTGCCTGGTTCCTTGCCCAGTGGTGACTGGGTGAGTGTTTCCCTTCTGTATTGGAAATTATGTGTGCTTTCACTTTAGGTTGCAAAATAAAAGAACTACTAAAACAATCACTCATGAAAGCTGTATCCCTCAGCCTACACAGAGGAATAATAATAGTAAAACACCACCTAATGCTTACTGAATGCTTCTTATGTGTCTGGTACTATTCTAATTACTTATAGATATCAGCTCATTTAATCTTTACATTGACTTTGTGATGTGGATTACTATTATTTCCTGTAGTAGCCAGTCTCCACATCCAAGTATGGAAAGATAGCCATGAAATACTGCTGTATGAAAAAGTTACAGTACAAGATGGGTGATATGATCCCAATTATTAAAACAAAACAAAACACAAAAACAAAGAGCGAAAAAATAATTAGGAAAAAAACAAAAACAACTTCTGGGGCACTTGTGTGGCTCAGCTGGTTAACTGTCTCAGTTAACCTTTGGCTCAGGTCACGATCCTGGGGTCCTGGGATCGAGCCTTGCATCGGGTTCCTTGCTCAGTGAGGAGTCTGCTTCTCCCTCTCCCTTTGCCCCTCCCCCTGCTCGTGTGTCCACGTTCTCTCTCTCTCTCAAATAAATAAAATCTTTTTTAAAAATGGAACGAATCCCAAATTTTATAGTGGTAATCTATGGGGATTGAGTTAAGACTGAGATTTTCTTTTTAACATGCTTTATTTATTTAGAGAGAACACGTGCCAGTGGGAGGCAGAGGGCAAAGGGAGAGGGAGACAGAGAATCTTAAGCGGGCACAACGCCCAGTGCAGAGCTCAACATGGAGCTCGATTTCACAACCCTGAGATCATGACCTGAGCTGAAATCAAGAAGTCGGTCACTTAACTGACTGAACCACCCAGGTGTCCCTTTCTAACATCTTTTTAATATTACTTGAATTTTGTTTCAATGAGTATATACTCTCAAAATTAAAATCCCAAATAAAGAGAGACATCATGGGCAGTCCATGTCATACTCATAACCTACAATGGTTCTTTGTTGTCCATTAGATCAAATTCAAACTCTTAAGTAGATTTTAATGCTCTCTACCAGGTGATTCCAATTTATCTGGTCAACTTTTAAAGAACAGCTTGAGATATTATCTACATAGCATACAATCCACTCACTTAAATGTACAACTTAATGGTTTTTGGTACAGTCACAGAATTGTACAAACATTACAAAAACCAACTTTAGAGTATTTCATCACTCCCAAAATAAACCCCTGCCCATTTCCTCCCAATCTGCCCAAGCCCATGGCAACCACTAATCTATTTTCTGTGTCTATGGATTTGTCTATTGTAGAGATTTCACATAATGACATCACATAATATATGGTCTTCAGTGATCTGGCCAACTTATTTTTTTTTATCATTTCTCCAAGTATTCTGAAATTAATTCCTTCTTATGTCTTACATGGGTCCAATCTGTTCTTTCCCTATTACCTTGCTTACAATGTGTCCCTTTTCCAAAATCTCTTCTCCCTCCACAGCAGTTCCATTCCCAAGATTTCAGGCTCAATGCATGTTTGTTTTTAGACTCCTCTTATTCAAAAGGCTCTCCTGATGGGCCCAGGTCATGTTGATTTGTCCCTCTTATTTTTTTTAAGTTAATGGTTTCATTTTCTTATACATACATCCTATAGTTGTGTACAAAGGTAATCACATCATACTGAACTCTTTCAATAAATATTTTCCCCCTTTTCCTTTGCTGTTTGATTCGTCACTTCCCTTCCCTCCTTCTACCCACACAAACACCTCACCCACACTGGTAATCTAGCATGTATCCTTTCCTATTTTTCTCAATACTCATATACTTGCATTTAGGGGTTTTTTTGGGCCACAAAAAGTGTTTTACAAACAGGGGATACTACACATTCTTCTGTATCTTGCTTTTCTATCGCAGTGACACCTTATAGAAATCCCTCCCACCAAGTCATCTTGCATAGCTTCAATTCATTCCGCTTGATGTCTCCATATATTTCTTGGGGTGATGTATCATAACTTACTGGTCCATTTCTATACTGGTGGGCATGTATATTGTTTTCAGCTTTTTGCTGTAATAATAAACATCCTTGTACTTATCCTGGTACCTTTATGCCTTATGTACTGGTGCTTTCTATGGGATGGTCCCAGGACAGACATTGCTGGGTCAAAGACCTCTGAATTTTCTTAGTACTCATGTTCAGTACATGAAACTCAGCTGTTTATGATTGCCTTGGAAGAGTCCAGTTGTTTTACCTATGTATAGTTTATCTCTCCAGCAAACTCTATAGTTTGCATTTCATTAATAAAATAACTTTTATTTATGTATAAGAGAAAAAAATCTACATTTTTATTGATGAAGTTGGTAAGAAATAAAAGGTAAATAAGCCAACAGAGTCAGTCCTGGAAGAGCTCACATTGCATTCCGCCCCCCGCCCACCGAATTGAACTGGCTAAGAGTCCTCTAGGGTTCTTGGGCAGAATACCGAACTTTGTACCAGAGCCCAGAAAAGCTTAACTATTTATCTCTCTGATAATTATTCATGTTAAGTCTACCACTGTTAACCAACACTGGAAATTTCCCAATGTACCAAGCAGTAAATACCCTCTTATAAAAGCAGAAGCTGGCTGTAACTGGTGGATCATCCAACCTTTCCTTTTTGTCTTCTCTTTTCTCCCTTTCCTGTGCTTTGCTTTGGTTTCCTCATAGCTATAGTCCATGTAATAAAGTTAAATTAGAAATCAGTTCATTCTGTGTTTTTTTTTTAATTTTGGGAAATAAGAAAATTCACAATTTTAATGACCTTAATATATGTGTTCTCTCCTGTTCTCATTAATAACAAAGCATATACAGAGATATATTGGAAACAAACTTCTGAAAAAAGATACAATTATTTGGAAATCAAAAAAACAGCATTGGAAAACTTTTACTCCCTTCAAGATACTCCTCTCCCTCTTCAATCCAATTTCATACAAATGACTACATGAGAAACATCTAAAACACTGGCTACCTTTTCCTAAGCTTATGAATCATCAACGCTATAGAGTGATCCATTAACTAAATGCTTCCAAACTTCTGAAATCTCAAAGTAACAAAGAACTCTTTGGTCATGACAAAAAATTATCCAAGGGAAAAAAGACATCTTTTCTTATCATTTGAAGGAGGAAATAAAAAAGGTGTGATAAAGTAATGAACTTTAACCCTAGAGGTAAACCTGGCAGTTGTTATAGCCTTTGATCATAAAACTAACCATTGTAATGGTCAAAATGGCCTGAATTTCTTCCGATAAAACTGTATCTGAATAGACATTCTGGTAACTTTGTCACATTGTAATGTAGTAAGGAACAAAGTTAGTATTTTATCATGTGGAATCAGTTAAGGATAGAGGGGCTATTCTAACAAGCTTCTTTACCAATCAAATGCCTACATGTCACAATCTGGACTCTGCAAATAGCAAAGTCTCACAATCAATTCTGAGACTCTACAGCTAAGAGGAAGAGCTCTTTTAGGACATTCGGGATTGCTCTTCTTAAGAGAGTAAGAAAAATGTTC